CAACTCCTTTTCTTAGTGTAGTGTTTCATCATTCCCTGTGTAAAATCAATGCCATGGTGACATTGGTAACCACTCTTTTTCTTCATGTAGTGTTTCATTCATCACTTTATGGTCACATATTTAGCACATTTCAATCATCCAAGCTTTCATTATTGTTGTAATTACTCAAACCAGTTTTTTTCAGTGGATCATACAAATCGGGAATATACTTAGTGTTCAATTTTGAAATATATAGGCTTGGTATCCCCATAAAAAAGATTTTAAATAAATGAACTAAACACCTCATATTACGGTAGATCAGCATTTCAATGATTCTACTCTAATGCAGTTTACACTTCTATCACCATCAGGCGTCCAGGGAAGCCAAGTAACACCCAGCAATACAAGTAAACCTGAGAGTCCAAGTAAAACCAGGAACAGTGTGTATGTACAGAAGGTTGGCAAATCAGAAAGACCATCATCAGCATCCATCCCATCAAACATTGCTAGTAGTTCATTTGTGGTGCAAGGAGATCAGCTGATTGATTCTGGTAGGATTGAACGAGGGACAAATAGAAGCAAGAAATCAGACTCCCATAGAAGCAGTAAAAGTGTGGATGTTTCACCTCCACCAACTGCAGAATGTAGATTACAGGAATTAGAAATACAGGTATATATGTATATATTATACAGTCCTCCACATAGTGTAGTAGAAATTTATGTGTGTTATGTTAATTCGTATCACTGTTTTCAAATTTTATTTGTGTAATGACAACAACTCTCTTCTAGTTACTTATTTCTCATTCAAATCTATAACCTGCAAGAAGGACCAGATGTAGATATTTTTACTAAATAATATATTTTAACGAGAATCATTCCCAAGTTACATGGAAGGTCAAAAAGAAGTTGGGTTTGGGAAGTGGTGAAAATTGGTGAAACTTTCTCTTGCTGAATTTTCTTTTGAAACACACTGTCAGTGGCTATAAAATTGGAATTATTGCTTAATCAGTCCATATTTGGAATCAACATTTCCTAATATGGTAGGATGCAGATGTTCAGGGATATATTGACAATACAGTATTCTGCAACTTATAGCAACTTATATATAATTATATGTATTGTATAAAAGGTTCTTAGCCTGCAACAAAAAGGTAAAGACAGTACTGACATTACTAAAGAACTAGTGGACAAACTACAAAAACAGTTACAAGACATACAGTCAGACATATTCAAGCAGACATCAGTCACTGGCCAAGACAAAGTCGAGCCTACCAAAACCAAGGCAGTGGTGGAATCTACTAAACCAGGGAAGACTAAATCTAAAAACACAGTGACTAAACGAGAACTGATGAGGGAGGTACGCAAACAAAAGGAAGAGCACAGGAAGCACATACGTCACTTGGAATCTGAGTTGCATAGATTGAAACACCGAGAGCCAAACAAAAGCTGTGAAATTCCAGAAAATGACATTTTGATCAATGAAGCTGGTATGTTATAAATGACTCAACTATTATAACTGTATTCTAGTCATTCATGGACTGCACACTGTTATTATTTAATAAGAGACTAATTTTCTCAAAGTCTGGATTTATTCTATTCTCTAAGACAGACCGGAAACGGAAACGAGACAACAACAAAAGATTTTTCAAGTTAGCAACGTAATTTCCCCCACGCTAAGTATTATCGTCAGGGAAAGCTATTGTTTAAGCTAGTCTGTGATTGGTTGCTGGCAATGTTTGGGGGATTTTGACCAGTTTGTGACGTAGGCTTGTCTTAGAGAATAGCAGTGAAAGTAATCATTGTGACTCAGTGCTTGAACTTGAGAGTTTAGAGGACACCCATTTTCAAAATTAATAAAATAGATTTAATAATAATAATTTCCATTTTCAGACTTGATTGGTGAAGGGTCATTTTCCCAGGTATTTCGAGGTTACTATCATGGTTCAGAAGTTGCCATTAAGAGACTCAAAACACCACTATCTATACAGGATAAAAACTACTTTGCTGAAGAGGTAATATCACTGACTCTCTGATAGTCAACTTTTTTTATTCACTTTTCTTGTATGGTTATGTGTAAGCATACACAGTCAGCAAAATTGAATGTGTTTTTATTTTCAAAATTTTATTATACATGAAATGACATATTTGAAAAAAAAATTATTTATTTATTGTAAGTTATATTTCTTTGTTTATAATGCTTGAATATTTACTTTATTTTTTTCACACGAAATAAAAACATATGCTGTGTGACTCCAGAAATAATTATTATAAAAATAAAAGAAACTAGATTTCATTCTGTTTTTGCAAATATAATAAAATATATTTTAATTTACAGGTGAATTTACTTCGAGAGCTACGCCATCCTAGAGTGGTGTTACTCCTAGGTGTGTGTACATTAAGTAAACTACCACTGATGGTATTGGAATTCATGTCCAAAGGATCTCTCTATTCTCTTCTACATAACTCCACTATGTAAGTATCTAGTATTGAACACAAGTTTTGACTTCTGTGATTGCTGCATGACTGGGTGGAAACACTGTTTTCTTTCATTTCAAGTATATCAAAGACGTATCATGAAATGAAACAATATCTTTCGAAAAAGAATGAACATGTAATTTTACAATAGAACTCATTAGCAAATAGTAACAATTATTGCTTTTACTGTACAAGTATAAAATCTTTGTACAAGTGTCATTATGTGGCTTGGAAAAAAAATATCATGGAATGCACTTTCAAAAATATGCACATGTTTTGAAATAATACAGACTTTTATTGAATCAGTATATCAGTAATACATTTTATTGCATCTTCCCTTGTTTACAATCAATGCATAGTTAACATAAACAAAGGGTCATAAGTCAATGTACAGATGTTTTGTATATCTCTTTTCAAATACAGTAATATATAAAACTACATGGTTTTGGTTATGCGTGTGTGACAAGACAGGATTTCATTGCAGTATTTACAATGCCGTGGACTGATACTTAGTATAAATAAAAGTCAATGTTATAATATTATTTTCAGTAGATTTGTGATAGGCTGTATGAAAGATTTCATAATCATAGGGTTGGCTTATGATGAACATGCATTGTAAATGAGACATTTTTCGGTGTAGTTGATAACAAAGTACAAATGTTGTTGTTTTCAGACCCCCACTAGATCATGTATCATATTTCCAAGTTGCCAGAGATGTATGTTTAGGTATGAATTACTTACACAGACACAAACCATCTGTCTTACACATGGACTTGAAAACTATGAATGTACTCATAGGAACCCATGGCAGAGCTAAGATTGGAGATTTTGGATTTTCTAAACTCAGGTATGACTATGTTTACATT